AGAGAGAGAGAGAGAGAGAGAGAGAGAGAGAGAGAGAGAGAGAGAGAGCGCCTGGGGTCCTGGTGCTGTTACTTGCCACTGAAGTACACACTTGGAGCTGGACACTTGGCTAGATCAGACAGCAATACTCCACCTCATCAAGGCAATATGAGTAATTCCTTGGACTAGTTGTGATCCAAAACTTACTAATAAATGTGCCCCATTATTGAAAAGTTTCCATCTTCAAGTTTTTGTCAGTATTATTATAGTTAAAAGGATCATTCCTACCATTTGTATTTTCTTTTTACTAAGTGTTAAATATTTTCATATTTATAAAATGTTAACTTCTGTATTTCTTTCATAAATTTCCCACTTATGTCTCTTATCAATTTTGGAGTTGTATTGGTGATTTATAAGAGCTCTGAATACAATATTCATGAACCCTTTGTGGATCTTCAATCTTGCATTTTCTCCTGGCTAGAAGTTTTACATTTCAGACCATTTCTTTAACTTTCAAGGAGTCTACCCATCTTTTCTGGTGTCTTAGTTAAGGTATGACATAAGGCCTTTTCATTTCAATGTCATAGTTTCCTTATATTTTCTATATTTTCTTTCAGTCCATAGGTTTTATGGTATGTTTTTTAACGTTCCATTTGTTCATTTTTGCCATGGTACAAGCTGCATGTGAGTATCTTCTCTAATATTGTTTCCAAATAACTGAGATGCCAATTTTCTTAAAGATGGATGTGTTTGGGGTTTTTCAAATCATTTCTTGTGTATTTTGAGATTATACTATAATTACATTATTTTCTCTCTCCAAACCCTCCCGTAGACACCTTGCTCACTTTCAAATCTCTTTTCAAAATGAATATATATCTCACCTGCTCAGCCTGTATAATGTTACTTGCATGTATATTTTCAAGGGTGACCATTCGGTATTTGTGGTAGTTTGAATGCGAATGGCCCCATAGGCTCTTATATTTGAATACTTGGTCCCCAGTTGGTGGAAGTGTTTAGGAAGGATTAAGGGGTGTGGCCATGTTGGAGGAGGTGTGTCACTGGGGGCAGGCTTTGAGGTTTCCAAAGCTCTCTCTGCCTCATGTTTGTGGATCAAGATGTAAGCTCTCAGCTACTGCTGCAATGCCAAGCCTGTTGCTGTGCTCCCTACTGTGATGGTGACACACTCTAGCCCTTAGAACCATGAGCCCCCAAACTAAACATTCTTTTATAAATTGCCTTGGTCGTAGTGTTTTATCACAGCATTAAGACAGTATTGGGAAACCAATTGGTATGCCATTTTTTATCACATTAACTAAAGACTCATCAATTGACCTATCCATTTCTCTACCCTCTGCTCTATATTAATCTGTTTGTTAATGTTAGAACTAACTCCATCCTGCTTGGATTCTTTTAACTTTTGTCCCATATTTTGATGTGTTTCTTAGTAATTCTCATGCTCTTTTCTTCCCAGATTAGTTTTACAGTAAGTCTACCAAACGTAGGGCTTTATTTGGCTTGCACTAAATTTGTAGACTGTTTGGTGAGGGCGGTCCTCTTTACATTGCTGGCCAACTCGGCTAGGATGTATCTCTTCATTTCTTCAGGGTTTCGTTTCTTGTTTGTGCAATGGTCTCGCTGTCTTTTTTAATAATTTTCTAAAATGTGTTAGTGTGTGTACGTGTGTGCATGCATGTGTCAAGTGAATGACATTCCAGAAGAGGGCGTTGGGTTCTTTGTGAGCCACCCCTGTGGATGCTGGGAACCAAACTCAGGTACTCTGAAAGAGCAGTACAAGCTCCTAACTGCTGAGGTCTTTCCAGCTCCTTGGCATCTTTCCAGGGTTGTTTCTTTGTTTTTGTTTTTGTCTTGTTCATTTTGTTTCAGTGATTGTTGTTGACAGTGTTGTTGACATTTTATACATTCTGTTGTTATTGTGAAAGTAATTTGGAATCCTTTTCATTTTCCCAGTGGCTATGGCTAGCATATAGAAAAGCTGCTGACTTGTGTGTTGGTTTTAGGTCTTGTCATCTCCCTGGCCTCCCTTGCAGGCTCTAACACCGTCAGACATTTTGCTGCTTCCTAGTTCGAAGGCCGTGTTAAATGCCACCCTCGGTTTCGGCTTCGTACATTAGACCTTGCAGCTTTTTAACCTGATACTATCACACGTTCCCCTTTCTCCAGACTTTTCCTGGGAGATGTTTTCCCACTGCTTTCTTTCCAAACAGTATGCGTGAGCAAGGCGCTGTTGTTTTATTTTTTTTAACAGAATTGTTGAAAATCAATTTTTTTAAAGCATCTATTCAATCTTTTTTTTTTCCAATAAATACTTGCTTGATTCAGCAGGGAGCAGGGAGTAGGGCCAGTTCAGACCCCTGCTTCCCTGGGACTCACGTGCTAGTGGACTGACCTGCTCACCCGCTGCCCTGCCCGCTCTGCTTGGGTTAACCCCTGTCAGCACGGTTGAGGCTTTCTCTGTCTGTGTGTTTTCCTCTATCACTTCATTTGTCTTTTACTAGGATGGGGTTGCTGCTCTTGAACCGTCTGGAAATTACACCTCTCATTTCCATTTTCCTGAGAGTTGGCACTAAATCTGGGAGCCATCCCTGTAGCTGGAGCCCCCACCATCATCCTCCACAAGGAAGAAGGCACTCCTGAAAACCCCAAGACTCTGAGTGGACCCCCTGGCTCTTGTTCCCACCCCTCATCACAGCAGCCAAAAAAAACGCAATGTTCTGGGTCCCCATGGCCTGGGTTGAGCTGGATAATCCTCACATCAGTAGTTCTACCTGAATGAAACAGAAAGAGAAGAGGTCGGAAGGAGCGGGGAAGAGGAGGGGAGGGGCAAAGGACTGACCAGGAGAAAGAGAAGGGAGGAGGGGAGACAGGAGATTTGGAGGAGAGAGGAGGGAGGAGAAGGAGGGAGGGAGTGTGGACTTTTCTGAGAGAAAAGAACAAAAAAAGGAAGCAAAAATCATACAGCAGGGAACATCATGGTCCACCACAGCAGATGAAATTTATTTTCTCTGAAATTATCAATCTCAGATATATGTGGTTGAAAGCTGCTCCTCTCCAGGATTCTCTCTCTCTCTCTCTCTCTCTCTCTCTCTCTCTCTCTCTCTCTCTCTCTGTGTGTGTGTGTGTGTGTGTGTGTGTGTGTGTGTGTGTGTGTCTTTTCATGTCGGTTCTGCTGGTTTTCAATGGCTCTTTTAAAATAAATGGTCCTTATTATCCCTTTAGTCTGCAGAAATATTTCTTCTATTATTTCCTTACTCCTTTACCTCTGTTCTCTGGCTCTGGAATTCCTGTTCAATTGGCATTTGGGCCTTCCCGGATTGGTTGGATTGATTCTTTCTTTTGTATGAGTGCTCCCTGTGTTCTCTGTCTCCTTGCAGCTCTACTCAGGATCCTGACAGCCTCCCTAAGCTTTGTCTTACACATCACTCTGGTCACCTGTCCTAACGCGTGGTCCCTTCTTTGAACCTTTCAGATCAGATTTTGAATAAGAGTAACAAATGGTAAATGTTCCCCAGTTCTAAGTTTCCATTGAATCTTTTTTTTTTATTGTTTGATTTAATACAATTAACTCACAAGTATTTCCTACTTTTCATTTCCTGAGTTGTCTCTCTTTTCTTCCAAGATAGCAGCTCAGGCAATTGTGTTGTCTGGTTTTCTAAAACGTTTCTCTCCTGGTAGGATTCTCTGAGAGATCCGCCCTGGCACAGAAGCTTGGGCATGACGCAGGCGTGAGGGTCCTTTCTCCTCCTGAGGGCCAAAGTCAGAGGGCTCTAGGCAGGCAGGGAATTTTCCCAACTCCCTGAGATGGTCTTTCCTTCCTGATTTCTTTTGCCTCCGTGTGTTTTTGTGAAGTCAGAACCGTCCTGTCCCTGGAGGAGCCCTCCTCCCTGTGGGGCATTCTTCCTCTTCCTGGTGCTTTGGGGCAGCGTGCTGTCCTGCTAGGCCGCAGCCTGAGCTGCTAACAGGCCCTTCCGGTCTGGGATTTTCTCAGTTCTTCTAAGTCCCCATCCATTGCCCAGAACCTCCTTCCCGTCCACGCTGTCTGCTGAGGCTGACCTTGGAGGATCTTCTCCTGGGTGAGTGTGGCCTGCAGGTTTCTCGGTTCTGACCAGTCCTCTTCCCTTGAAGAGTGCTTCTGTTCGTCCGGAGTCTTTCACTGCATTGAGAGAACTGGATAGAATCA